CCTTAATTCCCTGAGATTTGGAAAATCACATTCCAATTCTCTAATCCCAAATATTTCACTCAATGATTTGAACATACACTTCTCTTCTGCATCACGTCTGCATTTGTCCACCAAAGCTACGACTCTCCAGGAACTTAATTCCATGCCTTTGTTATCATGTAATTATTTCAACTTCAGTTCAGTGGCTGACGATGATACTAGAAAAGCCATACTTTCAATAAAATCTTCCGCAACCGGCTATGATGAGTTGAGTAGATCTATGATACTTCTCATACTCGATATTATTACTCCAGTTCTCACTCACATCATCAATTTCTCCTCTACTGCTATTTTCCCCAAGTTATGGCTAAAAGCTTTTATCTTGCCTCTTGCTAAAGTACCCAATCCATCCCTACCCTCCCATTTTAGACCTATTTCTGTACTGCCGTTTCTTTCCAAAGCCCTTGAATCATTGGTACACAAACAAGTCACCTCTTTCATTTCGAAATGGAACTACCTTAGTACATATCAATCTGGCTTCCGCCCGGGACATAGTACCACCACAGCGTTACTTCAAGGTACAGAAGATTTTAGAGAGGGCATGGAGAGGTCATGTTCGACTGTTCTGGTCCTTATTGACTTTTCAAACGCATTTAATTGTGTCGATCACGACTTACTCCTTGGATTACTTTCACGCCTAAACTTCTCCTCGTCATTACTGAACTGGTTTTCCTCTTATTTTCGCGGTCGCCAGCAGACTGTTCGGGCTGGTCAGGATTTTTCCGACTGGTGCGATCTATATATATCTAGGTGTACCGCAAGGCGGCATTCTCTCTCCTCTCTTGTTTTCGTTGTTAATCAATATTCTTACTACCCACCTTCAATGTTCTTACCGCCTCTATGCTGACGATCTTCAATTATACTCACAAACGTCCTCGGTTGAAATTGCTACCGCTATTGCAGCTATTAATCACAGTCGTCGGTCACAGCGATTTGGTATAACGGTAAATCTCAATAAATGCCAGGCTATTATCATTGGTAGTCGTCGATTGGTGTCACAACTTAACATACCTGATTTACCATCCATTCGCTACGAAAACTGTGTAATTCCTTTCCGCACTAGTGTCAAGGATCTGGGTTTAATTATTGACCCGACCCTTAGTTGGAGGTTACAGGTGTCCAAGATTTATCATAAAGTCACAGGCATACTTCGTTCCATCTATCGTCTTAAGTTCTTTCTGCCTCCTTCAACTAAGCTTATACTCATCCAATCTCTAATTATTCCATTATTTGACTATGCCGATGTTTGTCTCTCTAATATCTCTCATGAGCTGCTAAGCAGGTTGGACAGGTTACTTAACAACTGCATACGATTCATCTTTGGCCTGCTCAAATACGATCACGTATCAGAAATTCGCTCCCAATTAAAGTGGCTGACTATATGACATCGCAGAGATTTTCGAATGCTATCCACTCTGTTTTCAGTTCTTAATGATTATTCCTCACCCCTTTACCTAAAAGAAAGATTCCAATTCCGTAGTAACACTCATTCTCTCAATCTCCGATCTTCACACAATTTATCACTGTCTACTCCTCTCCATCATTGTGGGTTTATGTCAAATTCTTTCACAGTAACTTCCATCTCCGTCTGGAACAAATTGCCTGTTGACCTGCGAATAACACCTGATAAAAACGTTTTTAAAAGAAAACTAGACGAATATATCCATAATCAACAAATTTGAGTCCACTTACTTTATATGTTTATAGTTATTTGTATATAAATTTAAGGAGATATATATGTATAAATATGTGTATTAGTTATATTATTTATATGTGTAAGTGTATATAATATATATGTGTATATATATATATATATATATATATATATATATATATATATTATGTATGTGTAGCATGTACATTTTTGAATTGAATGTGATCATGACAACTTTACTGCCCATAACTCACTCTCTGTTCTACCCAAGGTTAGCTGGTCGAGAATGCCATATAGCATTAAGTTCGCCTTTTGTACAAAATCTTTGGTGCAATAAAGAATAAAATAAATAAATAAATACAACGAATGAAACTATATGAGGCGGTAGGCGCAGCAAATGAAGTCAACTACAGTAACTACCAACTAAAGAATAAGCCTATGTAGGAATTGGTCTCTTGGCGATTGATCGTCTTTGGTTACCCCGCAGAGGAAAAAGTAAAGTTATAGTAGTAATGCATAAGTCGTTTCCTTGAAAATGTTTAATTCCTACAGTTTACAATTACATTAAAAAGTTATAACTTATAATATAGCTAGTTTTAGGTCATTTTATACACAATTGTTACATCTTAACATTTATTTTAATATTTACTAACAAACACTGAAACAAACAAAACGACTAACACTGACAAAAACTGGCAACAGTACAGGGGAAAAAGCGGATTAAATGCTACAAGCATTAACTGCTAGTCAACCTTAGGGTAGTGATAACACTTCGAAGGTGGTTACAAACAATATAAAAATATTATGGACGTAAAATATACACAGATATCTAAATAGTACCTAAGAATGAAATAACGGTAATATATATAATTAGAACACACACACACACACACACACACACACACACACACACACACACACATATGTGGTAGAACCACGCTGCAGCTATTTGTAGCACGAAAGGGTCAGCTCACCCGGGGGCCGCCAACCACGCTCTCACAGAATACCAGCGTATAATAGTAGCTTAATGTGGCTGTGTTCGGTATGGTGAGCGTAGAGAATCGAAGACCCTTTTAATTGGAAACGTGGCATTCCATCTTAATCCTCAGGGGTGACAATGCAATCTGCAATTTAGATGTCTATGGACCACAGCGTTCACTTACCGTCGGGTGGACTGACGTTTGTCGCCCTTGTTCTATAATTGAGCACATTCATACACAATATTAGGCAATATAATATATAGCCTATATAATATTTACTTCGTTTCATTACATATAAGAAAAGTTATAAGTAAGGTTTATTTCAGGATCAGGTGGTGTGCTCTAGCTATACTAACAATATTAAAACGTAAAGTTTTTTAAATTAAAATTCAAATGTTGTTTCAGATAAAGGGGATTGCTCTACTATATTTCACAAATTTTCATTAGTATTTTTTGCAGTCTTTTGAGTCAACCAAATTCTTAATAAATGATTTTTCTTACTTTTATTATTAGAACGAACGTTCTCTTTAGTTTTTTTCAAATTACTAACCATTACTTTACTTTTTTTTGCTTGAGGCACTCACGCTGGAGCAACGTTTTTAACACAACAATAGTTCTTTGTCCTCGTCTTAATTACCAGACATTACGATGCTTTAATGGGATAGATTTATTTTATGCTAACGTGATGCCGACGGCGTTGCTTGAGACCATTGTGTTGTATCTTGAGCTAACATTTCAGCATGCTAGCGACGAGCTGAACAATTTAAGCAAAAGCAACTGTAACTTGCATTTTAGGTATTGAAAAGAGCAACCAGTGTCGAAAGAAATCTGTGTTTGTGAATTAAAATTTATCTTGCACACTAAACCAAAGGGGTGACCACGTACGTATTAATCTTGAATTAGTATTGGAAATAGATAAATAATAAATATAGTAATAGAATAATAATCTATCAATAAGTAATTTGTTTGCTCATGTGTCATCCTTTCTCAAATGAAGAAACTAGCACAGAGAGTTTCGTAAAAGACACATTGTTTTCTTTTACTTTCGCTATGATGTGCATAATTACTGGTTTACCGTTACAGCCTATTAAAGTTCACGGCTGAGCATATGCTTCCCACATAGATTGCCTCACACGAGGATATTTGCCACAGTTGCCACGCTCTTGGCAAGCGAGTTGGCAACCGCAGTTTTTTTAGGCCGTTATTAAGAAGACGCTGCTGCCCATCTACTGATCTGTTACCTTCTCTTGCCTCTTACGACACTCACGGGATATGGGGTAGTAGATATTCTTACACTGCCACTACTCAGGTAAGACTTAATCGGTATCTATATTAAAATTTTAAAAATTATGAATATGAATGTCAATATATAATAATAATAGTTGACAATGGCGCATTTTAATAAATCTTGGACTTGATTTATGGTAACAAACATACAAAACGGTTTATTAGATACATAAGATTATATGGTACACGAAGAGCCCGCAGGTAGGCTGTATTTGTTGCACCTTCTTCTTGGGGAGTAATTGCACAGAGCCGTTTCAATGGGGATTTTTTTGAATCGCTCGCTCGTTTCCGTTCTCGTATAAAGTTGAAAAATTATGTGAAGGTTTCTGGCTAGCTAATTATGATATTTACTAACGTGTGTTTAAAGATGAAAATCGTTTCATATCGCCAAGATATCAGCCATTTTGTGTACAGCAAGTATTGTTCATTCAGTCAGCTTTTTATTACTTTACGTACGAACTATCGAGCAGGTAAAATCTCATGACAACTGCGACACCAGTAAACATTGAATATATGATAAAGCTCGATGTGGTGGCTTAAACACTTTTGCACCTTGTGGCAGGAGTGCGCAATCCGTAGGACTCCACCTTAGGAGTTCAAATGTGGACACGCTCTAAGAGCGCGCTTCTTTCTCAATCAAATCGACTTATCCACCGAGTCGTTTCCTAGGCAGTTCACTAAAGACTTTCGGCAGCCGAGTCATATTTTAAAGGATATAATTTACTTTATAAGCAATAAAATATTCGAAGTGAAACTTCTTTATCGACGTATTGGAGAAATGAAGTACGGTTTTTTTTAAACGGAACGTTTTCTTGTAACGTTTCACCCCCGGGCTGCATGAGTAATAAACTATAAGAAGAATGATATGTCGTAAAGAAATTTCACTTCGTACGTGTGTACCTACACAATTGCACGTACAATTTTTTTAATTTTATTTTAATTCTTCTTTCATCTTGACAGTGTTTTCGTCTTAGCTCCAGGTTATGCCACTGTAATCAGTTATACAGTCAGAAATAACCAAACTTTCTTTTTAATTTCAGATGCCATCACTTAACCCAGCGCGATCATTGGGGCCCTCCTTCGTATTGTCACGTTGGGAGAGCCATTGGGTGTCCTGGGTTGGTGGAATCGGCGGCGGTGTAGCCTGCGCACTTCTTTACGAATGGGGTACTCGTCGGCCACGCGCAAACACCAACTCTCGAGCGTCATCGCCGAGGGACCTTGACGAACTGGACAAACCGTCCTTCCCAACTCACCACTACAGACACGCTCCTACATACTGCTCAGCGACAGCGCCGCGACCAGATAACACCGAGCCGTTGTACTCCGGGACAAAGTCAATGTACTGCCGGTCCCCGCCTCCAGCGAGACACACGCTGCACAGGTCAGCTGAAGGATCATCATGTCGCACGTAACTATTGGTGTTGTGGGATTCGTAGCTAGATGAATTAGTATAGCTTCTATGCATCTATATTATGCCAAATTATATTTTGCATGTGGAGTGTCTTCCGTGAGAGCATACCTAATTCTTCTCCAACTGACAAACTTTCTAGGATGCACCTTTGTAAAGGACAAGGTGTTCTGAAAACAGGCTTATGATCAAAATGCCCAAATTAACATGCTATTAGGGACGTAACATTGTCATTGCGAGTGTATCGGCTCTGTGCTCATTAGTGTTGCCAGCTTATTTATATCAAACTGGCAATCTGCCCCGGCTTCACACGGGTGATATCTGGATTCTACAACAGCGCCACCTACCGGGTCCAACTATGCATATAACCTTCGCGGTGCAAGCAATATGTTGATAAAGTTTTATATTACTAGCGACCTGCCCCGGCTTCGCACGGGTGATATCTGGATTCTACAACAGCGCCACCTACCGGGTTCAACTATGCATATAACCTACGCGGTGCAAGCAATATGTTGATAAAGTTTTATATTACTAGCGACCTGCCCCGGCTTCGCACGGGTGATATCTGGATTCTACAACAGCGCCACCTACCGGGTCCAACTATGCATATAACCTTCACGGTGCAAGCAATATGTTGATAAAGTTTTATATTACTAGCGACCTGCCCCGGCTTCGCACGGGTGATATCTGGATTCTACAACAGCGCCACCTACCGGGTCCAACTATGCATATAACCTTCGCGGTGCAAGCAATATGTTGATAAAGTTTTATATTACTAGCGACCTGCCCCGGCTTCGCACGGGTGATATCTGGATTCTACAACAGCGCCACCTACCGGGTCCAACTATGCATATAACCTACGCGGTGCAAGCAATATGTTGATAAAGTTTTATATTACTAGCGACCTGCCCCGGCTTCGCACGGGTGATATCTGGATTCTACAACAGCGCCACCTACCGGGTCCAACTATGCATATAACCTTCGCGGTGCAAGCAATATGTTGATAAAGTTTTATATTACTAGCGACCTGCCCCGGCTTCGCACGGGTGATATCTGGATTCTACAACAGCGCCACCTACCGGGTCCAACTATGCATATAACCTTCGCGGTGCAAGCAATATGTTGATAAAGTTTTATATTACTAGCGACCTGCCCCGGCTTCGCACGGGTGATATCTGGATTCTACAACAGCGCCACCTACCGGGTCCAACTATGCATATAACCTTCGCGGTGCAAGCAATATGTTGATAAAGTTTTATATTACTAGCGACCTGCCCCGGCTTCGCACAGGTGATATCTGGATTCTACAACAGCGCCACCTACCGAGTCCAACTATGGATATAACCTTCGCACAAGTGCAACTTATATGTTCACAAAGTTTTACCGCAATCTGATGAACGGTATGACAGCGCATAAGATACGATGAAACAAACATTAATTTTTATATATTAGATATGATATTTTCGAGGTTATAACTTGAAAGAATATTTACATGACGATAAAAACACATAGCACGTTTCAAATTAATATTTTTAAAGGAATATATTTCCTATTCGACCTTTATTAACAACCTCACGCCATAATCAGCCTTAATTAAACCAAGCCAGCCCGCCTTTATTACAAAGAAGTTTCACCTACTTTTTTCATTATAGTATGTATTAGGACTCTATGCTGCAGCGATATTAGTAGTATAGTTGTAGCACGAATGGGTCGGCTCGACCGAGGAACGACCACTCTCTCACAGAATACCAGCGTAAAATAGCAGATTAACACTGCTGTGTTTTCTATGGTGAGTGTAGAGAACCGCAGACCCTTATTACTGGAAATGAGGCATTCCATCTTAGTCCTCATGGGTGACAACGCATTTGCATTTTGATTCGTTATCGAGAATGGATGTAGATGTCTATGGACCACAGCAACCACTTACCATCAGGTGAACTTTGTGCTCGTTTGTTACCATTCTCCTATTTAAAAAGAACTTTACTGCCCAAACACGTGGTGGACAACCTTTTAAGAAATGCTCTTCGTTTGGCATGTTCTTAAGGAAGCTACGGTAATACATATTTCTCGGAAGTACTATATTACCTTCACATTGCACTAGAGCAACAAGGTTGACTTTTACTGTTTGACCCTCCCAAAATAAAAACTGTTCCCAGTTGTAGGAAGTTTGTACACTCTTTATATTTTAGATATTATGATAGGTACTCGCAGAGTTTTATTGATTGAATGTTCTAAGTTGTAAGCGACTGGTGGTAAAACTTATTACGATACTCGTAACACTATGTTTAAAAAATATTAAAAACTCGTAAAATTTATAATAAAATAAAAATCAATAAATAACTTACGCGAATAATAATTTTATTTTAGATTTATTTTAAATTGGCACCTTAATAATAATTGTCTTTATTTAGTTATGAGTATAATTTCACCAACTATTTTTTAGATCGTTATTTTATGAGCTCGTTAATTTAAGTCCCATATATTATGTTCAATTGTGTGTTTTGGCGGAGCGAGTATAATGTAACTTCATGATTTCGGTTATCAGTGGTGAACGCAAAATTAAATCAAACAACAACTTTTAAACACACTTTTAACTAATTAAAACTAAACACTAATACAACTACAATTATAAGTGCCGCAAGATGTCACAGTTTCTTTTTGATACTACAACCAAACTTGTGATGACATTTGCATAGAAATTTAGTTGTAATAAAAACTTTTTAACAAAAAAATTAAGCCGCCGAAAAACCTGAAAAGCAATAAAATAATAAACCTTTTTCTTTTACCTTAATAACTTAGTTCTTAAACTAATGTAAATGTACTTTAGCATATATTTTTATAATTATTTTGAGTTTTTAATTTACCTTAATAACTAGGTTCTTAAACGAATGTAAGTATACCTAAGTAATTCTGAGTCGGCGCCAAGCAATTAATGAACAAAGATCACAGATCACTATATAAATTACTTTAAATTTATAGAAATAATCAGATCAAATTAACATTAACAGTGCAACGTGAAATCTTCAGTGATAAACATCTACAGTTCAAAAAAAAACTACTAATTTGCTTGTTTATCTAACATATCTATATCAATTTCCAAATTTATATGGGACCAGTTTCGAGGTATACTCTATCCAATAAAAAAAGAATTATTAAAATCGGACTACTCTGTAATTAATCACCCCTATTTTCCCACCCTTAGGGTAAAAATTGTTTTTCCAAATTTATATGGGACCAATTTCGAGATATACCATATCCATTAAAAAAAGAATTATCAAAATCGGACTACTCTGTAATAAATCACTCCTATTTTCCCTCCCTAGGGAAACTTTTTTCCAAATTTATATGGGACCAATTTCGAGATATACCATATCCATTAAAAAAAGAATTATCAAAATCGGACTACTCTGTAATAAATCACTCCTATTTTCCCACCCTTAGGGTAAAAATTGTTTTTCCAAATTTATAAAAATTAGTAATGTATGAACGGTGTCAATAAAAAGAGACGTGTGGTTTGTTCTCCTCATTATTCTACCTTAACACTAAAGTATATTAACGTGGGAGCACTACACTACACCTCCCACCGACAAAAGAATAAAAAAATATGCTATCTATATCTTTTATCAATTCTTAAAATAGATCCTTAAGATTATTCTAAAAAAGGTTAATATCATTATGAAAACTATAATCTAAGACATATCTAGCACGCAAAAACGCATAGTCACATTTTACTTATTATAATTGACATAATCAGGCATAATTATGTATAACATAAAATTATGTTTTGATTTTCACGAAAATTTACAATATTATTTATTCGTATCCTTAATCATTTTGTTATTATGACTAGCTTATCTAGTCAGGTTAATAATGATAATATATATAAATTACGTGTCACGTTGTTTGTCCGCGATGGGCTCCTAAACTACTCAACAGATTTTAATGAAATTCGCACACCGTGTGCAGTTTGGTCCAGCTTGAGAGATAGGATAGGTTTTTTTTTTGACCATGAGTGACCTACATATTTTTTGCAAATTTAAGGATTTTAATAGGCTATGACAAAGGGTCGCCGAAAAGAGCAGAACAACGTCTGCCTGGCTAGTAGCTAGTATTATATATAATATTCTCTTAATCTTCATAATCTTTTACATTTCAATATTTTATTTTATTCTTTTTTTTTCATATACAACATGTAAGTATGTCATTTCTTTCACGTACACGGCTCGCATACATACATGATCAAGAAAATTACCAATATCATTTAATTCACTTCTTTACATTTCAGCTCATGTAATTCATTATTTAATTGTACCATAACTTTCACGTACACGGCTCGCGTACATACATGATCAAGATAGTGGACAATATTCCTATACAATTCATAATAAATTATCATTTCATTTCCCTCATTAAAATACATTAAAACTTATTCCGCATTTAATCGTGTCCGAACAACCTTAAAAAATTAATCGGCTATTAGGTTTTCCAAACTCTCACTGATCAGGCTGATTGTATGTGGATACACTAACCTCCGATAATTTTCTTTATCTTACTCTCGCAACTAATACATTATCAATATTTTCATTTATAATTATGTATTCCGTAACTTAACCATAAATTTAATCACATCTTTTACATTATATCATAAAATAGTCTCGTATAATATTTAGTTACAGTGTCAGTCAGGGATTGTGGCTCACAATATGGGAACAACAAAATTTAAATCAATTATTATAGTTGTATTAAACATTATATAGTGAGTTTCAAAATCGTATTATGCGAAGAAAATACTTTCATAATCTACTCAAATTAGTACTGTTTTCCAAGAAAATAATAAATTATAACATTTAAAAGCTTATGATTTAAATATTCAAACAATATAAAACCGAAAATAAATTATTACATTTCACATTAAGATAAACAGAACAAAGAAGTCAATGTTAAGCAACGTAATTATTATAATTAATATAGCAACACACAAATCAAAATACATATTATTG